GGGCAGGCAGAGGGGATGGAAGGCGAAAGGGGGATGGTGGACGGAAATGTGCGGGACAAATGGGGGAGGGAGGCGGGAGAGGAGCAATGGCACAAACAGGCCCCGGCACCGGGGCAGGACGGTCGGCCAAAAGAAAAAAAAATAAACACCCCGGTTCGGGGGCCCGGCCGGGGGGCGGTGATGTGGCTGTGTACCCCTCCCCCCCGGCTCGCCCGATGTGCCGGGGGCGATCTCTCGATCTCGCGAGGCGGAGTGGTGCGGGCCCGGCGGGTGCCCCCCCCCCCTCCTTGATGCCGGGCCGCCCGGTGGCCGGGGGCCTCTCGGAACCTGCTCGGTTCTCTTCTGCTCCCCCCCCCCCCTGGAGCAGCCCCGTTGCGCCAATAAATGGGACGTATCACCCCCCCCCTCCCCTCGGACAGAATGATGTGCGGACGAATATCCCGGCCCGGCCCCCACTTGGGTAGGCCTGGCCGGCCTGTGCCCGTTTTGGCCGAGGAGCCGAGTCCCGGAAAAGGCACCCGGCCGAGCCCGGCCCGATCGTGAGTATGTGTGCCGCCCCGGAGGTGCGCGCGTCTGTGCGGAGGTGCGCTGCGCCTGCCATTTTCGGCCGGGCCAAAAATAACGTCCCCGGGCGGCCCCCCCGCCCTGCCGGTTGTCCGCGGCCAAAGGCGGAAGAACCAGCAGCCGGCAAAGCACCGCCGCGTCGCCCGCCCCGCCCCGCCCCGCGCCCCCCCTCCCGGCGGGGAAAGCCAGCACCCCTGGCTGGCGGGCCGGCCATGCGTTTCCCGCCGCGGCCGCGCCCCCCGGGGGGGGAACGCGCCCATTTGCGGCTCGGGGCCGACCCATGGGCGGCCGGTTCCTACAAACCAACACCCTGCTCGGGGGCGCCTGCGACACCCCCCCCCCCCCCCCCCGCGCGGCCGCCGGCATCCGGGGCCTGTGGCTGGCGCCGATGCCCCCGCCCCCTCCTCGCGGCTTCCTCCACCCCGGGGTGCCGGAAGAGCAGGCATGCGCCACGGCTCACGCGTCATCCCCCGGGGCGGAGCACGCCCGTGCGCGCGCTCGGGCTCCGGCGACGGTGCGACGCCGAGCGGCGGGGGGGGGGGGGGGCGTCGAGTGG